AGTGGGGGACCCACATCAGTACAACTCAGCCCACAAAGGACTGGACCGCCTTGGGGGAGTGACCCACAGGGAGAGGTCCATCAAGGACTGTCTCCTGTGGGAAGGGACCTCATGGAAGCAGGGGAAGGACTCAGCCATGACTCCCCCCGTAGCCCATAGTAAAGACTATGGTGATGTAGGTGTCCCCCTGCAAGCTATAGAGGACCATTGGGGTGCAGAGACCCCCTGCACTCCCATGGAGAAGTGACCCCCAGGACAGCGGATTGGGAAGAGCTGCTGTCCAAGAGATGGACTCATTTAACAGCGACAGAAGCAACAACTGGCTATGACCCCCTTCCCCCCCTGCCACTTTCCATCTCCCCGCACTGCTGGGGGGAAGAGGGAGAACTTGGAGAAAGCGGGGGGGAGGGGGGGAAGGTGTTTGTTTAAGACTGTTTTATTTCTCACTCTCTTAGTTTTTACCTTGTTAGTAATAAATTTAAGTTCTGTTCCCTATACTGAGTCTGTTTTGCCTCTCAGTAAATGACCTCTCCCAGCATTTATCTCTACTCAAGAATCCTCAGTTGGTTTTTTTTTTTCCTCTCCTCTGTGGAGTTGCAGAGTGGAGGAGGGAGGATAGTGAAGTGGTTTTAATAGCCCCCTGGCATCTGGCCAGGGTCAAACCACTACAACAGTTTAGAGAGATGGGCAGAGAAGAACTGAAATTCAACAAAGGCAAATGCAGGATCCTGCACCTGGGAAAGAATAACCCCAGGCATCAGTACAGGCTGGGGGCTGACCTGCTGGAAAACAGCTCTGCAGAGAAGGACCTGGGGATCCTAGTGGACAATAAGCTGACCGTGAGCCAGCAGTGGGCCCTTGTGGCCAAGAAGGCCAATGGTGTCCTGGGGTGCACATAAAGAACAGCATTGCCAGCATGTTGAGGGACGTGATTCTGCCCCTCTACTCAGCCCTACTGAGGTCACATCTGGAGCACTGTGTCCAGTTCTGGGCTCCTCAGTACAAGAGAAACGTGGAGCTCCTGGAGTGAGTCCAGTGGAGGGTGACAAAGATAACTGAGGGACTGGACTATCTCTCTTACAAGGAAAGGCTGAGGGAGCTGGGCCTGTTCAGCCTTGAGAAGAGACAACTGAGAGGGGATCTCATCAATGTCTATCAGTATCTGAAGGAAGGGTGCCAAGAAGATGAAGCCAGGCTCTTCTCAGTGGTACCAAGCAATAGGACAAGAGGCAACGGTCAGTAACTAATGCACAGGAAATTCCACCTGAATATGAGGAAGAACTTCTTTACTGTGCAGGTGGCTAAGCAGTGGAACAGATTGACCAGAGAGGGTGTGGAGTGTCCCTCACTGGAGATATTCAAGAACCATCTGGATGCAATCCTGTGCCATGTGCTCTAGGATGACCCTGCTTGAGCAGGGAGGTGGGACCAGATGACCCACTGTGGTCCCTTCCAAGCTTACCCATTCTGTGATTCTATGATCCTGAGTCACCATCCCTGGAGACATTTGCAAGACATATGGATAAGGCACTTAGGGACATGGTTTAGTGGTGAACTTAACAGTATTAGATTTATGGTTGGACTGGATGATCTTAAAAGGTCTTTTCCACCTTCAATGATCCTATGATTTTATGATTCTTTCCCAGCTCTCTCACCATCTGTTCCTGTGGGAGATGCTCTGATCCCTTCATCACTGCAATGGGTCTTTGCTAAACTCAATACAGTATTTCCATGTCTTTCTTGTACCAGGGAGACCAGAACTGGACACGACACACATGTGGCCTCACCAGTGCTGAGCAAAGAGAAAGGATTACCTCCCTCAGCCTCCTGTCAACACTGTTCCTAATGCAGCTCAGGATACTATTGGCCTCCTTTGTTGCAAGGGCACATTACTGGTGCACATTCAGCTTTTCTACCATGACCCCCATGCCCTTCTCTGCAAAGTTGCTTTCCAGCCAGTGAACCCTAGTTTGTACTGGTGCATCATGTTATTCCTACCCAGGGTCAGGACTTGGCATTTCCCTTTGGTGGACTGCATGAGGTTGCTGTCTGCCCATTTCTCCAGCCTGTTGAAGTCCTTCTGAAGGCACAACAGCCATCTAGTCTATCACACACTCCTCCCAATTCTGTACCATCTGAAAACTTGCTGAGGGTGCACTCTGTCACAATGTCCAGTTCATTAATGAAGTTGTTAAAGAGTATTGGCCTGAGGATCACCCTGGGGGACACCACTAGAGGCTGGTCTCCAGCTAAACTTTATGCTTCTGATCACAACCATCTGGGCCTGGCAGTTTAACCAGTTTTCAGTCCACTTCACTGTCCACTAACCTAACCTGTACTTTGTCAGCTTGTCTATGAGGATGTTATGTGAGACTGTCAAAAGCCTTGCTAAAGTGAAGATAAAGAGCTGGCAGGTTGGCCAAGCATAATTTTCCTTTTGTAAATCCATGGTGACTATTCCAAATCACTCTGTGTCCTTTATGTGACAGGAAATGGCTTCCAGGATTATTTTGTCCATTATCTTCACAGGAATAGAGGTGAGGCTGACCAGCCTGTATTTCCCCATATCCTCCTTCTTGCCCCTCTTGAAGATTGAAGTGTCATTTGCTTTTTTCCAGTCCTCAGGAACCTCCCCTATCCTTGGAGCTGTGCATGACTTGATGGAACATGTCCCTGAGCAACCTGATCTAATTACACTTGCTTTGAGCAGAGGGTTGGACTAGATCACCTCTGGAGGTCCCTTACAACCTAAATTTTCTATGGTAAATTATCAGCCATACTAAAATACAGCTTACTGGTGGATGAAATAGGACTACAAGTTGTGTCAGCCAGCTCCTCCTTCCATCTCCTTTTAAGGTACTATCTACAAATGAAATTGGTAGCAGTTATATCAGGAAAATCATATAGACATCATTTCCTGTATGGAGATAACTTTTCCAGGCTGTTTATCCAGTCATTTTTTTTTTTTTACTTTGTTTTGTTTTTTAAAGTTCTTTTTCCCAGACAACCATGCATTTTGGCTCTTTGTCAGATTTGTATGTCTGCCACCATACTTGCTTCTTTCCACCCACTGGTTCTTGGCTCTTGCCTTTCCAGTCACTTCCACCAGCTCTTTATCTAAGACCAGAACCCTTTCCTGCTTACTGGATCCCAGTTTCACTTTTCTTAACCAACCAACTCATGTTTTCCTTTCCTCCTCACTGACTGGGCCTAGTTGCTGTTTTCATGTGCAAATGATCTCTTGGGATGGCTTGAGGGTTGTGTTAAAATCAGGCTAGCATATGACCATAAAAGGAGAATGAAAGAATATCCATGTTAATAATCATAGAATATTTTCCATTCCCACCACAGGTTTAGTACTTGCTCCTTTCTCTGTTTTGATAGGATAACTTCCTTCAACCATATATCCTAGGCCCTGTATATGGAATGGAATAGAGTCTTTGTTAATAGATTAGATACTAGAACCCAGAGTTCGTATAATTAATAGCAAAAGAAGCAGCTGCAAGGAGGTACCCCATTTAGGGCCATCTGAAGCACATCCATTGGTCTTTGGGGCAATTAACATATAAATAGGGTAAAACAAACATAATCCTCTGCTTAATATATTTGAGCTATAAAGTCGGACAGAATGTCATGAGCTGCAATAAACCACACACTCCCAACATCACTGCCCAGTTTCAAGTCCATGATTGAAAGAGTAGAAGTACTAGAGCTTTTAAAAGAAAAACTTATAAAAATGTGGATGAAGAAATATGTTTTCTTTTGTCTCAACAGTTCAGTGTCTTTGGCTGACATTTTTCAAAAAGAAGTTAGGCTAATAAGGCATTCTACATAGATATCTTCAGTCTTTGATTACAGTTTAACAATGTTATGAGTGACTTGCAGTTTTTACAGTATCTTAAACAAGGACACATTGGTCATTCTTAATAATGTCTTAACAGATCCATTTAGAATAGAAGATTGATTAGTCATTATAAGACCAAAGAAAATGAGGGAACAAGAGAATGTGTGGGAAAAGGTTATCTGAAGAATGAATTTGGCAAAATATATCAGTGGAGAGGATGCTGCAAGTGTTAACATCAGTCTCAGAACACAATAGCGTTGTTGACTTCTTTTGTGTCAATGCCAGATTATCATCAATAAATACATATTTGCTGTAACCAAACAAGTTTTCTACATGCCTTTTGCTTCTTCCTTAACCTTATAACATATCAAAAGTTTAAGGGGATATATTTAGACGTAACTGGAAAAAGAGGAAGGGAAGGTTCTCCCTGAGCAACTTTGAAGTTAGCCCTACTCTATGTGTGTGTGTTTTACCACATAACCTCTAGAGGTCTCTTTTGACCTAAATTATTCTACAATTTTAAGTTTGCACGTGGGAGAATAGAACTTGATGGCCGAAAAGCATGTTCATCGAAGCAAGCAAAGCACAGGAAATAGAAGAGTCTAAGAGAGAAGCAAAAGGACATATTCTCCTTCATCTACCTTCCTTCCTTTGGAAAAATAATAAATATGTATATCATTGCACTTAAAATAATAAAGAAATTACATAATCATTTTCTGTAAGTAATTACTACAGCTGCCTCAGCAATTTAGGAAATTGCCAGTGGAATTTAAACTAGAAGAGTAGAGGCCCACATGAAGGTTTCTTAATAACACAGATGATCATGTTATGACAAATTTAGATCATCCTTCCTATCAGCATAACTTAAAATTTGTCCATAAACTTAAGTTTTTTCCCCTAACAACAAAATGCTGCATAAACAGCTTCACGCTATGTCCAACTGTAACAATTACCTGAATTCCTTTTAGATTAATTAATGTGAATTCAACTTGATTTCACTCAGATAATGAATTAATATGACCAAAAAAAAAAGGTTTTTTTCAAACATTTTTCTTTGCTAAATAAAACACAGTAGTCCATATGATGTCATTAAAAGACCATGCATTTAACTTCATATTTTGGTAAACATTCTAATTTAGATCAATAGCCAACTTACATAGTTCCATTTGTGTAGACTGTGTCACTTCCTTCCACATACTGAACCTGGGCTGGGTAGACATGTTGTACCTGTTGCACAGTCTGTACTTGCTGTACCTGCAAACAAGAACACCAGAAATATAGGATAGTTTACCTTATATAAAGAATGACTAATGCTTCACTGCATCTAATGGTTTCTAAACAATACTCTCTGTCATAGGACATCCCTGTTCTCACAATTACTAAATGACAGAGAATGTAATATTGTGCTGCAAGTCTGTAATATGCTAAGTGAAGTATTAACATTGGAGATGCAGACCCTTGAGAGTATGGATATTTTCAATGCCAAAGAGAGAACCATCTAAAAAGAACAAGAACTATATGCTTTACTCCAAGTGTAGGAACTATATTTAGGAAGGAAGAAAATTTTATTTGGTCATCTATATTCTGATTTTCTGTATTTTTTTTTAACTCTAATTAAACTCTATACAATACAAGCCTATAAATCACAACTTATATGTGCTGTTAAAAGGCAAACTCTGACCTGTCAGAGGAGGTCCTAAAAACTTCAGTGTAATCCTAGAAGAGTCTGGTTCTCGTGCATGTGATGCATCATTACATGTCTTCAAGGTTAACTGCTCTGGCAGACATGCTCTGAAGTGGAGGATTGCACCAGTAGAGCTTTCCAAAAACCGGCAAAACTGTGAAGCTAGATCACAGAGAGAGAGGGTACCCCAGCCCCTGACAGAGCGGGAAGTGTTAAGACCTTGATGAGTGGCAGCTCTGACTCAGTTTGGGTGGGGCCAGGAGTGAAGGCAGCCAACACCCACACGTACAAAAGACACACCCAAGGAGCATAAGTGACCAGGAGTGGGGCAAATAGGGCAGGCAAACAGGGTGTGGCTGTCATGGTTTAGGAATGGTATTCCCCAATTTAGTGTTCCCACTGAAACCATACTGCCACTTCCCCTCCCGGCTTCCAATTGGAGGCATAAAAGGCAAAGATCATGGGTTGAGATAAGACCAATTTACTGGAAACAGCAATGAGATAAGAAAACAAACAATAACAGCAACAATATTAATAAGGTATAAGAAAAAGAAACTATTTACACAAAAAGCCTCCAACGATAAACAGTCCCCCTACCAACTCAGGAGGTAAGCCCAATTGCAGCGGTGAATTGGGAAAGGGAAGGGCACCAAGACCTCGGTTTTTAGCCCATTACCTGGAGGGGATAATGCTCCCTCCCTGCCCCCCACCACGTGGTCCCCATGGAAACAACAGAGACCACAGGAGAGGAAGAGCGAGAGAGAGTTTATTGTTCATGGATAGGGATATACGTAGATTTTGAAGGGATCACAGAACAACCAATCAGGAGCTCAGGGGTCTTACAAAACCACCAATGGTAAGAAAGGGTTAACAACCAATAGACAAGGAGCTAACAAAGCCAATGAGAAAACTTTCAATTATCTCCCAGACATTCCAGAGTAGAGATAACGCTGAGAACTTGGGGAAGAAGAAGGTGAATTAGCAAAAAAACTACAAAAAGACATTTTGAAAACATGTTCACTTAAACAACATTAAAAACTTCTGGTTTCTCTTATATATATACTGCAGATCCACTGCAACACCCAATTAGTGATCATCAGTGGGTTTAGGAAAGGCAGGTTCTACCTGACCAACCTGATCTCCTTTTACGACCAGGTGACTCATCGTGTGCATGGGGGAAAAGTTAAGGATGTAGTCTGCCTGGACTTCAAAAAAATCCTTTGATACTGACTTCCATGGCATTCTCCTGGAAAAGTTGGTAGCCTACAGCTTATACTGATGTACTCTTCGCTGGGTTAAGAACTGACTGGATGGCCGGGCCCAAAGAGTGGTGAATGGTGCTGCATCCAGTTGACAGATGGTCACTAGTGGAGTTCTCCAGGGCTCAGTATTAGACTGTACTGTTTAATATCTTTATTGATGATCTGGATGAGGGGATTGAGTCTACTATCAGCAAATTCACAGACAACACTAAGTCAGGTAAGAGTATCAATCTGCTGGATGGTAGGAAGGCTCTGCAGAGAGATCTGAACATGCTGAGGCCAACAGTAGGAGGTTCAACAAGGCCAAGTGCTGGGACCTGCACTTTGGTAACAATAAGCCCATTCGTTACTACAGGCTTGGGGAAGAGTGGCTGGAAAGGGACCAGACAGAAAAGGACCTGGGGGTGCTGACTGATAACCAGTTGAACATGAGCCAACAGTGTGTCCAGGTGGCCAAGAAGGCCAATAGCATCCTGGTTTGTATCAGAAATAGTGTGGCCAGGAGGACTTAGGGAAGGGATTGTCCCTATGTACTTGGCACTGGTGAGGCTGCACCTCAAGTACTGTGTTCGGTTTTGGTGCTTCACTGCAAGAAGGACATGGAGGTGTTGGAGCCTGTCCAGAGAATGGCAACAAAGCTATTTGAAGGTTCTATAGAATAAGTCATATGAAGACCGGCTGAGGGAGCTGGGATTGTTTACGCTGGAGAAAAGGCAGTTCATGGGAGAACTTATTGCTCTCTACAGTTACCTGAAAGGAGGTTGCAGTGAGGTGGGGGGTCAACCTATTCTCCCAGGAAACTAGCAACAGGATGAGAGGACATAGCCATGAGTTGCACCAGGGAGGTTCAGGTTGGACATCAGAAGTAATTTCTTCACAGAAAGGGTTGTTAAGCATTGGAACGGACTGATGTTTTGGGTCTGGCTGAGATGGAGTTCATTTCCCCCAATAGGAGCCCTCACAGTGCTGTGCTTTGCATTGGTAGCTAGAAGGGTGTTGATAACACACCAGTGTTTTGGCTGCTGCTGAGCACAGCGTCAGCACTGTAACATTCCTCCTTGGAGGGGACACAAGTAGGTCAACTGACTTTAAACAAAGGGATATTCCATACCATATGACGTCAGCTCAGATATAAAAGCTAAGGAGAGGAGCAGGAAGGGGGGCATTCATTGTTTCCAATGGCTACCTGCTAAGAAACCATTACGTGTGCTGAAGCCCTGCTTCTTGGGAAAGTGGCCGGACATTGCTGCTGATAGGAAGTAGAGAATAAAATCTTGTTATTTTTCGCTTTGCTTTTGCCTATGCAAGCTTTTGCTTTGCTTTTGCTTTAATAAACTGCCTTATCCCAACCCACAAGTTGTTTTCCATCTTTTTCTCTCTCTCCTTTACAGCTGGGAAGGGGAGTGATAAAACAACTGGGTGGGCACCTGGCTTCCAGCCAAGGTCAACCCACCACAGTCCTTTCTGGCACCCAATGTGGGACACGATAAAGGCAGTTTTATATACATATATATATATATATATTGCATGCTATAGTAATAGTAGCTATCCAATAGCAAGCTCCTGTGCAGGACACAGAGTTTTCTGGTTGTGCTACTTATTGCTTTATTTTGCTGGGTTTTGGGAACACACTAATACAAAACAATGGCTCCATGCTTTGCCTTGTTATGCTGGGGAAGCTCTCTTCTGGGGACGATGGAGGAATACACCCTTTCCCCCTCCCTGACATTGATATGAATAGCTTTATAATGAAGTCTCATGTGCTCCTTGCTAATCCTTATGTGAACTGTTTAGTAATGTTACTGTTACTAACTAATACTGTCAGCATGCTATAGAGTTAATGGAATCTGGTGTTATCCTGGTGTAAAAGAAAACAAAGTTTAGGTGAGGATATATTGGGATGTGAATTGAGGTGCCCAGTTCTTGGGTGGAAGGGTGTGTGGAAGGATTTGGGTAGGCTCCTAGGGCGTTTGACACCTCCCGTTACTGAGGCCTTCACACCTGAACAGGTATTCAACCCTAGCAAACTGACACGTCACCTGATGGAAGGGTACCTTGCCTACCCCAATAAAAACCAGCAGCTTCTTGCCCTGTACTGGGGCCTGACCTATGCTTATTGAGCCACAGTTCAATACTCTCAGAAGACTGTAGTGGAGGCAGGGACACAAACTGCAATGGAGGACACTATGACTGACAAAGGGACTCAAACCACAACAACTACAGTCATTGCCCCTGTAGTGAAAAGGAAGAAATGGATAAGGCAAGCTACAGGTCCATATCAGTGATTAGTAAGGGAGGAAGAAGAAGGAGGAGAAGGAGAGGAGGGGGCAGATAAAAAAACTGGTCCTTCAACAAAAGAAGTCAGACAAATCAAACAGGAAACTGAAGTTACCCTGGCCTTGACCTCATCAGAACTTCTGGACTTGCGGAAAGATTACAACTGCCAGCCCGGTGAATCGATTCCTACCTGGCTGCTTCAGTGCTGGGATAACAGGACTGATAGTCAGCAATTGGAAGGTCATGAAGTCCAACAGTTGGGATCCCTTGCCAGAGATCACAAAACTGAAAGAGGAATTGGAAGAGAAAAAACAATTTGCAGTCTTTAGAGACGGTTCTTCTCAAGCATGAGGACAAGGTATCCATTCAAGGAAGATGTAATGAACTCCCTAAGAATGTAGAGTACTGCAGATGAAGGTATCCAGTACTTGAGAGAATTAGCAGTGCTGGAAATCATCTATAGTAACTTAAGAAGTGATGACTACCAGGAAGAGGAAAGGGATGACTGGGCCTACTGAACTGTATGGATTCAACGACCTGGCACATCGGATCCACAGAGGTATAGAGCTTTGGTAGATATGGGTGCACAGTGCAGACTGATGACATCGAGACACAGAAGTTCAGAACCCATTTGGATCTCTGGAGTGACAGGGGGATGCCAGGAGTTGTCTGTATTAGAGGCTGAAGTGAGTTTAACAGGGGACAAGTGGGAAAAGCACCCCATTGTGACTGGTCCAGGGGCCCCTTGTATCCTTGGCATTGATTACCTCAGGAGGGGGTACTGCAAGGATCCAAAGGGGTATAGATGGGCTTTTGGTGTAGCTACTGTGCCTACAGAGAAGATCAAACAGTTATCTACCCTTCCTGGCCTCTCAGAAGATCCCTTCATTGTGGGATTACTGCAAACTGAAAACCAACAGGTGCCAATTGCTACCAGGTCAGTGGACCGGTGGCAATATCACGTTAACCGAGACTCCATAATTCCCATCCATAAACTAATTCGTCGACTGGAGAAACAAGGAGTGATCAGCAGGACCTACTCACCCTTTAACAACCCCATATGGCCAGTGCGAAATTCTAATGGGGAGTGGAGGCTGACAGTGGACTATCGTGGACTGAATGAAGTCATGCTGCCTCTGAGTGCTGCTGTGCCAGACAGGGTGGAACTTCAATATGAGCTCGAGTCAAAGGCAGCCAAGTGGTGTCACAACTGACATCACTAATGCATTTTTCTCAATCCTTCTGGCAACAGTGCAGGCCACACTTTGCCTTCACTTGGAGGGGTGTCCAGTATACCTGGAATCGACTGCCCCAGGGGTGGAAACACAGCCTGACCATCTGCCATGGACTGATCCAGACTGCACTGGAACATGGGGAAGCTCCAGAACACCTGCAATATATTTATGATATCATTGTATGGGGCAAAACAGCAGAAGTTTTTGAGAAAGGGAGGAAAATAATCCAAACTCTTCTCAAAGCTGGTCTTACCATAAAACAAAGTAAGGTAAAGGGACCTGCATGGGAGATCCAGTTCTTGGGAATAAAATGGCAGGGTGGATGCTGTCATGTGCCCATGGATGTGGTGAACAAAACAGCAACTATATCTCCACTGGCTAACAAAAAGGAAATACAAGTTTTCCTAGGCCTTCTGGGGTTCTGGAGGATGCACATTCCGGGTTATAGTCATCTTGTGAACCCCCTCTATTGAGTGACCCAGAAGAATCTGACTGGTGGGAGATGTGGTGGTCAGAGGACGTCTGGGGCACAGTGACCACGAAATAATAGTTTTCAATACTCAGGCATGCAAGGAGGGCCATCAATAAAACCTCTACCCTGGACTTCCGGAGGGCAGATTTCAGCCTTTTCAGAAGACTAGTTCAGAGTGTACCCTGGGAAACTACCCTTGAAAACAAAGGGGTCCAGGAGAGATGGACATACTTCAAGAAGGAAGTCTTGAATGCACAAGAGAAGGTTGTCCCAGTCTGCTGAAAGGCAAGTCGATGGGGAACACGACCAATCTGGTTGAACAGGGAGATTTTAAAGAAAATTAGGGTAAAAAAGAGAACCTACCAATTAAGGAAAAAAAGGCTGGCTACTCAGGAAGAGTTTAGGAATATAGTGAGATCTTGTAGAAAGAAAATCAGAGAGACGAAGGCAAAACTTGGACTTCATCTTACCACTTCTGTTAGGGATAACAAGAAGTGCTTCTACAAATACATCAATAGCAAAAGGAAGGACATGGAAAACCTCCATTCTTTATTGGACATGGGTGGGAACATAGTTATCAAAGAAGAGGACAAGGCTGAGGTACTTAACACCTTCTTTACCTCAGTTGTCAACAGTAAGACAGGTTGTCCTGAGGACAGCTGGCTTCTGGAGTGTGTAGACAGAGATAAGAGGCTGAATAGCCCCACTGTAATCAAGGACAAAACATATAGTGACCTGCTGAGCCACTTGGATCCTCAGGAGTCTGTGGGACCAGATGGGATCCACCCTAGGGTGATGAGGGAGCTGGCGGAAGAGCTCGCCAAGCCGCTCTCCATCATTTACCAACAGTCCTGGCTCACTGGGGAGGTCCCAGACGATTGGAAGTTGGTGAATGTCACGTCGATCCAAAAAAAGGGC